AAGCGAAGGACCCAAAATTAATAGAATTGCGAGATTTGTTACAAAAAAGAAGAACATAAGTTGTATGAGATGAGAAACGGGATAGTGTACAGAAAAATTGATAGTGGTAAAATTCTCTTCTGTGTCCCTGAAGATATGGAAAGTCATATCCTCTTTAAATACCATGATGAGATGGGTCATATTGGTATCGATAAAACAGTGGACCTTATTTAAAAAAATTATTGGTTTTCGAAAATGAGAGAAAAAACGTCTAACCACATTCAAAATTGTTTAAAGTGTATAGTGTTTTCAGCAAAGCACGGAAAGGAGGAGGGATTTCTACACAATATTCCTAAAACAGGTAATCCGTTCGAAGGGGTACATATAGATCATTTTGGACCAATAGACAATTCGCGTTCAAAGAAGCACATATTCGTCATAATAGATTCATGCACAAAGTTCGTTAGACTGTATACTACAAAAACCACTAGTACCAAAGAGGTGATAAATGCGCTGAAAGATTACTTTCGCTTTTATAGTAGACCAAAAACAATAATATCAGATCGAGGCAGCTGTTTTACGTCGAATGATTTTATGAAGTTCATGGAGGCAGAACATATTCAGCATGTAAAAGTAGCGACAGGCTCTCCCCAAGCGAACGGTCAAGTATAGAGAGGGAACAGAAGTCTAGGACCAATGATAGCTAAATTATGCGAACCCGAACGAAATATGCATTTGGACAATGTAATAGAAACAGTTGAATTTGCACTTAATAATAGTATTCATAGGACAATAAAGCAATATCCAAGTGTTATGCTTTTTGGCGTTAAACAACGAGGGCAATCTGTAGATTTAGTCAGTGAATTGTTGATAGAAGGAAAACAAAACGCTCAAGAAACTCATAAAGAAATTAGGATGCACGCCATGGAAAACTAAAAGCATTTACAGTCTTATAATAATAACGGGTGATTTTTTAAGAGCTTGATAACTTTTTTTTTAAAAAAAACGCATAAAATTTGCAAATCTCTCTCTCTCGGTTCTTTATTTGAAACGTTAGATTGGTCCATGACATTTACTTTTTGAAGATAATTTCATTTAAATGTTGACCGCGGCTGCGTCTTAGGTGGTCCATTCGGAAAGTCCAATTTTGGGCAACTTTTTCGAGCATTTCGGCCGGAATAGCCCGAATTTCTTCGGAAATGTTGTCTTCCAAAGCTGGAATAGTTGCTGGCTTATTTCTGTAGACTTTAGACTTGACGTAGCCCCACAAAAAATAGTCTAAAGGCGTCAAATCGCATGATCTTGGTGGCCAACTTACCGGTCCATTTCTTGAGATGAATTGTTCTCCGAAGTTTTCCCTCAAAATGGCCATAGAATCGCGAGCTGTGTGGCATGTAGCGCCATCTTGTTGAAACCACATGTCAACCAAGTTCAGTTCTTCCATTTTTGGCAACAAAAAGTTTGTTAGCATCGAACGATAGCGATCGCCATTCACCGTAACGTTGCGTCCAACAGCATCTTTGAAAAAATACGGTCCAATGATTCCACCAGCGTACAAACCACACCAAACAGTGCATTTTTCGGGATGCATGGGCAGTTCTTGAACGGCTTCTGGTTGCTCTTCACTCCAAATGCGGCAATTTTGCTTATTTACGAAGCCATTCAACCAGAAATGAGCCTCATCGCTGAACAAAATTTGTCGATAAAAACATTTCGAACCGAACACTGATTTTGGTAATAAAATTCAATGATTTGCAAGCGTTGCTCGTTAGTAAGTCTATTCATGATGAAATTTCAAAGCATACTGAGCATCTTTCTCTTTGACACCATGTCTGAAATCCCACGTGATCTGTCAAATACTAATGCATGAAAATCCTAACCTCAAAAAAATCACCCGTTAATTACGTGAATGGTAAACGGAGGGTTGCGAACCAGTACAGTGAAGGTGATTACGTTTTAGTTAAAAACTTCGACTCAACAGCAGGAGTTTAGAAAGTTGATTCCTAAATTTAAAGGCCCATATAAAATTTGTAAAGTTTTACGCAATGACCGATATGTCTTGGAGTATGTTGAAGGGTTCCAACAATGTAGAATACCATACAAAGGGGTATGTGCTGTTGCAAATATACGGCCTTGGTTAGGCAAACGCATAACTTAAAAACTACAAGAGATCGGGTGATCTCAAGGTCAGAATGGCCGAATTGTAGTAATAAGATACTATCTAACTCATTGTGCACCTAGTGTAAGCTTCAAGTATATAATTGTTATATTATGCCCAACCATCAACGGGTTAATTTGAATATCAGCCGTTAGTTAAGTTCGCCAATTTATTCTATTTATTATTCTTTATTCTCTATCTAAATTCTATTGTACTCATCCTTATGCATAATTGATTGTATCTTCTATCTCTTTCTGTAAATTTTGGTACACGAAGCTAAGTCCGAAGATGATGAAATACAGTAAGTCGTAAATTGACATCGAATAAGTGCGGTTGTTTTATTACAATATGTACATGCGCAAGAGTCAAATCAGACTAAAAAAAATTAAAACTGTTCGCTTATGGGCGATCTTTTTTCATAAAGACACATGTTTGAGTGTACGCGTCTGTTTATCGGAAAGTCCGTGTATGGGATAGCATTTTGTATGGGAAAACGCCAAAAATTGTGCGTTCCCAAGAATGTGTCCGCTTATAGGAGATGTCCGCTTCTAGAGCGTCCGCCTATGAGAGCTTTCACTGTATTTGTATCACTGTTTTATATTTTGATTTGTTTACCCCGAACGATGTCGGGTGCTCTACTAGTTTATAATATAAAGATAACTACGAAGAAGAAATCGGGAACGAAAATTTCAACACAAATCTACCAAAATGAGAAAAAATTTACCTTTTTACCAACCCAAATTTTTTCTACCAATTTTGGTAACAATTTACCAAAGTGGCAACCCTGATTACAAAACAGCTAATATTCGCGCAAGCAAGTCGATACTCACCACCAGTGTTGCCATTTCTGTTTCTGCCGTTCCGCCAGGTTAATAAACAAACATCGCTAGAATTTTGCTAAATCATTTAAATTCTGTAAACTCTTATGAAAAAAAATTTTCTTTTATAATTTAGCAGTTAAACTTTATTTGATAAAATAAGAGATCATATGTTTATAAAAAACCATCAGTTTTTTAACAAAAAGACAATTGGAACTTCGTTATATGATTTTATAAGCAGTGTTGGGATTTTGTGGCATTAAATAAAGTATCAAAATTGGTCATAAGAATGTCGAATTAAAATCTTCAAACCATCAAAAATATATAGATATTCATACATGCAGCTTTTTTCATGTTAGCTGAGCCGAAGATACCTAAAAATATTCGACAACTATATAATACTATTAGAATACCTTTCCTGCCATGTTCAGTGCTTATTTAGTGCATTTTATTCTGGATGCGAAAATCTTTTTATACACATAAGTATGTACATACATATGTGTATAAATGCATTGTTTCAAATAAAATATATATCTTGATTGAATTAAAGTGAAAATTCAATTGGTTCTATAAAAGTTTAAAATAGTTACTAGTGCGTTACTATTTATTTTGATTTTTGATAAATACAACAATACTTATATCTTGGACCGATCACTAATGTAGTATAGATGCATATTAAATTTTACTGAAAAAAAATTTTGATGTTTTGATTTGTCCCAAGTTTTGGTGCTTTTAGGCAAGTTGGCAGCCATGGGGTCCCAAATTCGTGAGTACTCACATATACTTGTTCTCTCATTCCGATCACACATACAGGTGCAATTCGCGCAAAATTTTCTGTTTCCCCCCCGGGCACAATTACCTCACCTCATCTACCCAACGGTTTGCACATTTGCCCGCGGTTTGCACGTTTGGGCATTTTGCCGTATGTACACATTATGCCCATCGCTAAATTAAAGGAAAAGCTGAAGATGAATGTATGTATGCCACACCAAGAAGCTTACAGTGAGCATGTGCCCATATCGCAGCAAGCAGCATTTTGAAGTAAAAAAAAAATTTTAAACAAGCTTTTATTTAACATGTACAATCAAAGGAATAAAATAAAATAGAGTAACAAAACATTTTTAGCAAGAAAATTTTGTCAAAATTTCACTAAAATGAATATAATAAAATAAGTTAAGGTCTCGTTAAAGTTACTAAAAGCCATTTAGTGAAAGGAGTTACTCAAACTCTAATGAAAATTACTAATTTGTACTAATTTACTTCGTTTTTAAAAAAGCTTGTCGGCGAATTTAGCGTACATGCATAATTGGTTTGGTATGTATATGTAGTCAGCCGCTGTGGTGTTGTGGTAAGCAGTGCGCGCTTCCACTCCGCAGCACCCCGGTTCAAACCCTGGTCAAAGCAACATTGGAAAAAAATATAGAAAAAAGGTTTTTTTTCTTAACAGCAGTCGTCCGTCGGAAGGCAATGCCAAACCTCCGAGTTTATTTCTGCCATGAAAAATAGCTTCTCATAAAAATACAATCGCCGTTTGGAGTCGAGTAAAACTGTAGGTCACTCCGCTTTGTGTGATAATATCAAGGCGCACGCCACAAGTCGGAGGAGAAGCTAGTAATATATTTATGCCGGTTCTGCTAGCAGCGCTGCCTGCACAAGGCCAGAACCGGCATATGGTTTGCTGCTTGCACATGTGCAAAACCACTATACGGTTTGCTGGTGCTCTGCCGCAAGCTTTGCTGCTCCGCCGC